CCCCCCCCCCCCCCCCAACCAATATTCTGTATTCTATGTGGACCTCCTCTCCCTCCCTCTGGAACCATAAGTTTGTCACATTTTTTGAAAATCGATATCTCAAAGTATTCTGGGAAGTATATCACAAGCACGAATGGTTATCGTCGATCAAGTAGGGGGAGTTAGTTTATGTGATAGAACAGCCGATAATGTAACCTCGCAGTTTATCTCCACACCCGTTTCCACTCGTGTGTTTGGTCAGCTACGTGAATCGTAATGATTACCCTATAAAGGTGTGACAGTCAGAATTTGTAAGAGTCGTTTTATCCTGCAGTATAGTTAACACCCCTGAGAAGAAGCTGTCTTGCACGTAACAGATCAGTGAAGGGGACGAAAATGCGTTTGTTAAGAGTAGTTGGTGGTTTGATGTTACTTTTTATAACAGTTGGAGACTCTGCGAAGCTGCCCCATCGTTCTTCCGAAGAAGGTGATGACATTCGTAAGTTTCGTGTGACTTCGAGTTTTTTATTTTTTCAAGCCTCGTTGTTTTTCTTGTTAATTATGATTTTGCTTGTAAACTTTTTCTTCCAAGACTTCAAGTATAATAAATTATGATTTAGAGCAGAGGCTCCGACGTTTTTAGCCGGGGGTGAACATTCACCCGCCTCCCTTTATCAGGTAACTATGAACCAACAGATAATAACCACCATTCTAAAACAATAATAAAAAAACGCTAGTATAATAAGACAGTTCTACACCTATAAATTATTCTGTACCTTTAAAACAATTAATCACAAGGAGTTCCGGGTGTAACCGAATGGCTAACGTGCCTGAACTGTGAATGTAAGTACTTATTGATGGTTCGTGTCCCATAGCTAAAAAAAACTCCGTAGGTACTATAAGGCCGTATATTAGATGCGTTACGAAGGTAACGGTCAAACCCCGTTATTGGAACAGACAAGTGTAGTCCAAGAGTTGGCGGTTAGTGTTGTTGTTGTTGTCTAGTTTCCTTCGCTCTAGTCTATCAGTTTCAAATTAAGGACGTCCCTGTGCGCACAGCCCTTGCGTAGCTTCGCGCGAAAATCTGAAACGAACTAAGAAAAAACAACAACAAAAGTTCTTATTCTGTAATATTAACAGACAACGAAGAAGTTGGGAAAATGGAGTAATTCTATCTGAACATATTAATATTTACATAAACAAAGCATTTTAAAGATTTGTTACACGTTCCTTACTTCTCGGTGGGGGCGCGACCCGCAGTTTGAGAACACTAGACTCTGGAAGTTTAATAATATTTCATGTTCTATTTCAACAAAGCTCAAAAATTTTCATTAAACAAGAATAACGGAGAAATTATTGTAATACTCGGTAGAAGATCTGAATGATTATACCACTAACAATCAGCTTTCGTAATTCGTCATGGGCACAGCACAGATAGCCCATTATGTAGCTTTGTGCTTAACATCAAAGAAACAAACAAATCTTAATTATTAATTACTTGTTGCTCATATATGTGTTATATAATTTCCCCGAAAGGGGGCCAATGGCCACCTAGAGGGATCACCTGTTTTAACCACTTGTACTTTACAGTAGTGTGTTGTCTGTTAGTCAGACAGTAGACACTAAAATAATGTCAAATAAGGGATGCTTGACGCTGCAATCTGCACTGTCGTGACGTCATTAAAACGTGTGCATGCCATGAATCACGAGAAGGATTATGCACTATGTAGGCTACAACAGATCATGACATATGAAATTAAAAAGCAAGAAATAAAAATATTTGTTACTCTTAATTATAGTTTTCTTTACTCTTGAAACGGAACACTTTCGGGGATCCTGCAGACGTACATTTAGTCTGTTTTACATGTTAATACAAGAGTTATCATAACTTGTTAATAAAACAATATATTTGTATCTTACTTTATAAAATTAATCAACGAAACTCTGTACGATTGGATGATGTGAAAATATCAAAGACTTTTGTAAAGACTGACGAATGAAAACTATAGTTTGAATAAGCAGAAAATATTTATTTACTTTTTCTCATATATTTGTTATAAAATTAACTTGGTTGTTTATGGTTTAAACGCCGAAACTAGCGAAGCATTAGAAACCAATTGGCTTAAAATGTGTGATTAAAAATCTTATTAACTACAGAATTGTTTTTTCATGTTTCTCTTCGTTCATTTATTTGGGTTTCAAGAGGCCTTTCGTTATTTGAACTGGACGATAGTAGACAAAAGATTATCTGAACCGAAAACTGGTGAAGCATAAGAAACCGATAGGCCTAAAATGTACGATTTTCATCATATAACTTAGGCCTATTGATTTGTTTGTTTGGGCTGGACGATGAGAGACAAAAGATTAAATGAACCGAAAACTGGTGAAGCATAAGAAACCGATAGGCCTAAAATGTACGATTTTCATCATATAACTTAGGCCTATTGATTTGTTTGTTTGGGCTGGACGATGAGAGACAAAAGATTATCTGAACCGAAAACTGGTGAAGCATAAGAAACCGATAGGCCTAAAAAGCACTATTTTCATCACATAATTTAGGTCTACTAATTTGTTTGTTGAATTTTGCACGTAGTTGCTTGAGACTATCAGTACTAGCCGTCCCTAATTTTAAAGTGATGAACTAGAGGTAAGGTATCTAGTCAACATCATCCGCTACCAACTCTTGGGTTATTTTAATATAATAGCGGGATCTAACCGTCACTCTTATAACGTTCCTACGGCCACAAACTGCAGAGTGCTATTTGTTTATGTGATAATTGGGCGTGAACCACGGAACTTTGGATCTAGAGCCTAACACGCCAACCACTTGTGCGGCGCTTTATCCTTAAAAACTCTTCACCGCTGAACATTCTCGAAACAATGTTGCTTTATCAGACCGTATTTAAGACTGACCAACTAAAAAACCCAGTAGCCGTGGACAGTTTGGAGCCATGAACGATATGACTGGCTTCTTCAATCCGTATATAACACTGACCAGTTAAACATTCTATAAAAACGCATATTTCTGGTATATACTAATAATTTCTAGAAAACTCGTATTTTTTTACCCAAATCTTTCATTTCATCATAAATTATCAGACAAAATAGAGAAATACAAAAAAAAAAAAGTCGATAAATCCAAACTAATTTCGAATCTAATGACTGAAATAGTGCACGATGCGTACGTTAAGTGAAATTATGGGTTCTTTGCCTAGATTAGCAAAACATATTATACTTGTAATAATTACTTACTGAAGTATATTTAAAAGAGTTGATTATTATAACCGATATCAGCTACTCACTGTCACGCAAACGCGTGTTTATGTTCAATTTTCTCTGGCATTTGCGATGATCTGCTGTTGGTTTTCTGGCGCAATAATTACCACAATGAACAAAGCCTCGAACGCAAACCACATTGCTAAAAAAAGAACGATGAAACTCTTAAGGGGTCGTTTACAATATTCATGAGAGTATAAAATATACGGTATGTCTTCTTATAGCAGAGCCACATTGGGCTCACTGCTGTCGAACCCCTGATTTTAGCATAGTAAATCCGCAGACTTAACGCTGTCCCAAAATTTACGGTGAGGATTTATTTATTTATTTCTCGCAAAGCTGGAAGAAAACTAACTGCGCTAATCGTCCCTTAGTTCTAACTTTGAAGTTATAGATTATAATTCCATCCAATCTAGTCAGTAGCTAGTGAACGCCACCTATCGCCTAATCGTGAACTACGATTGGGGCTGGGGTGTGTGTTATAAGAGTGAAAGTCAAATCCCACTATTCGATTAGAGAAACCCGCGAGTTGGTAGTGGCTGGTTTCGACTAGCTGCCTTCCCACTAGTCTATCATTTCAAACCTCAAAATTAGGGCCGGTTAACGCATTGGCCCTCGAGTAGCTTTGCGCGAAATTCAACAAACAGATACTAAATATCCGATTAATATACATAAATGTCATAGCAAACGTGAAAGACTCGTTACGTGACATGTGGCCAGTATTTAGTTTACAGTAATGTTTAAAGTATCGGGCCTTTTGTATATAACAATCGATTGTTATACAGCCTCGAAATGTTGCATTCTGGGTACGTTATCAATAAATAATTGGTTTGTTATGTATCTATATAAATATAGTA